AGATGATAATGATGAAGAAGAAGATAATATGGATGAAGATTAAATAAAATAAAATAAAAGAATAATAAAAAAAATTTCATTAAATCATTAAAGATAAAAATATATCTATTGTTATATTTGTCATTAAAGTTTTTACTTCAATCCGGATTCCAAAGCTTAAGAACAAAGATAAGTATTATACTTCTCTCTTTTTTTTTGTACTTGATTTTCCCTAGCTTATTAGTCTTCTTTTACTTGTTTAGGGTCTTTCCGGACGATTATTATTCAAGATCGGGGCTTCTGGGACTTTCTAAAGACCAAGAAAGTCAAAATTTCGTTCATTCTGGCGATTTTCGATGTTCGTGACGTTATTCACGTGATCATTACTTATATATACGTTGGATCATTCACTAATTTCTCTTGATCTCTTTTTCTTTCTATCGTTCCCTCTTTCTAGCTTCACACCTTTTTTTTTTTTAAATATACTTTTTCTTAAATATACCTTTTATACCGCCATGCTTTCTTCGGGGCTTTCAGACTTTCTTCAGCCGAGATCACGTCAGATTCTTTCACGCTTGGACCTTTCTACATACAAGGTGTTGGAAGAATCTTTCGTACATCTTCACTTCCGGCGTGTCTTTGGCGATTTCAATATAAGAGTATAAGAAACGTGTTTTTCGTAGAGACTTGGTTCCGATTCTAAATATATATATATATATCTATATATTTTTCTTTTCTAGTTTCGCGTCGCTTCGGATTTTTCATTCGTTTTGTAATTTCAGTACCTTGGTCTAATTTCTGCTTTTGGATCTTTCGGAGCTTTTGGCCCTTTTTTATGGTTTTCTGCCAAACCAGATCCCTTTTACTTCATTTTCGATCCTTCTTTTTTTTTTTTTTTTTATATATATATATATTGATCTTGATTCTCATGATTTTCCGACTCTTGTTTTTCAGACTTTTTGCGACCAGCTTCTTTTCTTGGAATTCAGGGGTTCGAACTAACTGGTAAACACCTCAAAATTTCGACGTCATGTTGTATCTCTTTTTTTTTTTTAACTCTAGTTTTTGTCCTTAGATCTACTTCGGGACCAAAGATCTTTCAGTTCTTGCACCGGGCCAGGCTATTTTCTTTGAGCTTTCCAGTAAGTTGTTCGGTTTTTGGCTCTTTAGTTTTACCGATTCGTCTTTCTTGGGACTCAAGATCTTGTCATTGGAGTTCTTGAAGCAATTCGAATTTCTCTTTTCCAGGTCTTAACTAACTAATTCTTTTGGCTCTTTTCTTTTTAGTTCAGGGATTTAAAATCTTCTTCCAGCATAAAGAGAACTCCGAAATACGACATCGTGTTAGGTCTTGCAAGCTTGCTTGGACTTCTCTCCTCACCAGCGGCGATTTCCTCGAACCTTGGTGTTTCTGGGCTATAAAGTAGGCACAAATTTTATTTTATTTCATCGTTGTGTCTATTTTGATTTTGCCTTTAACTAATAATTCATTTGTGCTTTAGGGTAACTTGATAGTAAATAAGCCGGAAACCAGGTTTGGACTACTCGTGAACTGTATTAAATAACTAGGCGAAACTTCAGGATGTGAGGCTCTAAGTTTTTCGAACTTGGGGCACAGGAGCTATCTAGAGCGATGTATCCTTTTGTATATTACAGTTTTTTTTTGTTTTTTTTTTTTATTATTATTTTTCATTTTCTTATGATCTTTATTCCCTTTTGTGAGGTGTCTGGACATAACAAGACACCAAAATCTAGAATTCACTGGAGTCCTTATTTTGCCAGCACAGCAACCTGGAGCTTATTTTTTTATTTTTTTTCTAGTTACTGGTCCTGAACCTACAAGACGATATAGGAAGACTGGTGAATTTTTTTTTCTAGGTTTAGAGGTTTAACATAACCAGGTTTATCGATAAGGTCTCTTGGGCTTCTTAAGAAGATCTAGTAGGGCTGTCGTGGATTATGATTAAAGATGTAGGTAACCGGGTATATTAAGAGTAAGTGTAATGTGCATGGCAAAAAAAAAATTATTATTATTATTATTATTATTATTATTATTATTATTTTTTTTTTTTCACTGCATTTTATTCTTATCCAATCTAGACATAGTATGTAGAACAAGATGTAGCAACAAAGATCCGAGTTGACTTGGATTAAATACTTCGGCCATGGGACTTCTGCAAGACATATATCTTTTTAGATTATACGTAGTTTTGCTTTCCTTGTTTTCTTTAAATTTTATCCTACTAACGTTTCATTAGGCTAATGCCATTATAGGTAGAATGGTACGTAGAGTCGTTAGAGAAGCATTCAGCATATACAAATATGTTGATTGGGATATTAGTGTGGGGGAAATGATTCGTTTAGGTCATTAGTTAGATTAGGGTGAATATGGAACTATCGGGATGTGGTGGGGCGATATATAGAGTGTAAATACAGGACTTGGGTATGGACGAATTTAATGAGATATACGGGATTGGGTCATTAGTTTAGAAACAAATGTGACGATTCTTTGCTGAATTCCTTCATGTAGACGACTAGTGGTCCTGTCATCGTCACCAAATGTGATGAAAATTCCGGATATTCTATCGAGAATACCAAAAATTAGGTCGCAATGCGTGCCGAAGGGAACGGGTTTTACACAGAAGGTATTCAGACAAAGATCGTTTTTGTATTATTTAGTGTTCCGCACGGATCAGTTCGGGCGGGTATTTTTAGAGATTCGAATCCGAATCGAAAAAAAAGTTCAAATACAAAATAGGATTCGAATCCGATTCAATAATATCCGGATCTGATTCAGATCTAACTCTACAGGCTAGCTTCCATTTGATTGGTTAATTGCTTATAATTATATTAGTTTAAAGTACTTTTAGAAATATTATATTTATACTATCGTGATGAATTGTTAGCTTATAAAAGTATGAAAGTATAGGAAGAAGTAGGTGACAAAAGAAACTTCAATGTAAGTGCTTAAAAAAAAAAATTGCGATTCTTTTTTTATTACAAAAAAAAAGAATAGTCGTACAGTTCATGCAATTTTCATTTGCTAAAAAAAAAATCAGTCTTTAGATCATAAAATCTTTGATCATAAAAAAAAAAAAAAGATTATAAAGATTATAAAAAAAAAAATTCTTAAAAAAATTTAAAAAATTCTTAGAAATCTTTAGAAAAAGGTTTAAAATCATAATAGTAAGCTTAAAAATACTTCGTATAGTTTATTCATACTTTCATTAATATAGCCAATCAGTGCACATATTCAAGCAAATCAAAAAACCGGGTATATCTGAATCGGATCCCCAGATGGATCCGAATTCGCAAGTTTTATAAAATCACGAATCTGGATCCGTTCTTACGATTCGGATCCGGATCGAATCTGGATATCAATCGAATCTGCGGAACACTAGTATTATTTATGTAATTATGTATTTATTTAATAAAGAACTTGGAGATTTTATATATCGAACTTAAGAACTTGTATAGAACATAAGAATATGTAATGAACATGTTATTACAAAGAGGTGAAAATAATGTCTTTAAATACATGTTTTAGAGAAAAAGCAAAAGAAATCTAATAGGTTTTCTAAAAATAAGTGGGTTGTTTGGGTTGTGTAGGTTGTATAAACCTTATAGGGGTGTGTGGGTTGTATAGGATACATAGGCCTTGTAAAATACATATGCATGGATCATAGACTGCATATAGACCGTGGTACTTCTATATAGGGTAAGTTAACTAATTGTAATACACAAATAAAAAGGGTAATTGTCATGTGCTAGAAAAATAGTCACATGCTATAAACTAACTACTATAATACTATGATACTATAATTTTATCACAGTAGAAGTATGTTTTAAATATGAAAAAAGTATAAGTTTTTTTTTTTTTTTTATATATATTGCCAATGTAAAAACTTTATTTAATTAATCAGGATTCTCTCTAACAACAATTGTATATACAGTTTCTAATTACATTTGTGCTACTACTTTTTAGCTAGCCACCCAATATGGCATTATACTTCTTATTTTCCCTATATTACTTTTTCATTAACTATTTTAAGCCAACTTCAAGCTAGGGTTGGTTGGAGCAACCTACTATTACATATCCCACCTATGTAACTATTTATTTTCTGTAATTTTTTTCCTAATTAGTACATATTAACTATCACCATTGTGTTCGTATCTCATGCCACCTTTTGGGGTGCGGCCGTAATACAATCTATATCTCAATTTTAACCTTCCTAATTAGTTCTCAATTACGTACTATATTCCAAGATTTTCTATTGTTACCTATTTTCATACTATTATGCTCCCTATCTACTTCTTGCAGCAACCTTATAATTCTTCCAAATTGGTTTATTCTAGCGGCTTTTTACTCTTCTTGCTTTCATATTGATATACATAGCCCTCTATGTATTAGTATCGTATGGCACGGCTAGATTTATCGAATCTTCAGTTGTTATCTGCAGTGTATCATCTACTTTATACAATGCTCCTATAGTTGGTATGATTAACTGTAGCATAAGTGCCAAAGCTTTCCAATATAACTATGTTATATAGATATACTACTGACAATTATTTTACTTCTAGCTTGGTAATGCAAAGAGGCCTGGAACCTTGACTTATAACGCATTAGTATGGCACCTATCATTAATATTGTGATATACAGTGTTTTCTTATTAGTTTTCCAATTTTTCAATCTTGTATGCCAGAGGTATTCCTTTATTTAGTAGAGCCATCCTCTTACTATATCCCCTTACTGTATTCACCGCTTCTCTTACCACTTTTAGATATACTACATTTAGCCGTTCTTCCAATCAAGATCTCCAAGACCGCCTTAGAGTTGTTAGTACTATCTAGCTAATTGAGGATTTACATGCACAGCCTTATGCAGTATTACTTTTTGTGATGCCATATCACACATAGTGCCTAGTCTTCTCTACGGCTCAGAACTCCTTCCAAGAATTCTTTATAAGCTAAATATGTATTTTACATGGTCTTATTGTTATAGGGTTTTGCATTTGAAAGCTCCTATAGGTTACAGAGATAATTAATTAAATTAATTACCACTAGCTATAATCAAACCATTGACCTCGTCTGTGGAAAGTTAGACGCCTAGACCACTAGGCTATAGGACTCTAACCCAAGTATAAGATTCAAAATAATTTTTATGATCATTTTCTTTCTTTATCTTTGCTTTTTTGACTATAAAGTTTTGTTTTTAATTGTTTCAAAGTAAATATGTTTTTTTTTTTTAAAAAAAAAAACTAAAATTATTAAATATTTATATTAAAAAAAATTTTTTTAATTAAAAATTAAAAATTGATACTTAAATTTATAAAGTTATTATTATATAGTGTAATATAAAAGATTAAATTTGTATCTAAATTAGAGTTACTTAATCTTGATAAGTAATGATTTATAAAATTATAGGCACAAAAATTATTATATAAATAGATAATAATCATTAATTTTTACTAGTTTTCTTTTCTTCTCTATAATCTCAATATTTATAATTATTTTATCATCTTTATTATTATTACAATTTATATTTTATTCAACAGCTTTATTTTTTATTTTGTTCAAATAATATTTATTCATTTTAAATCTAATTTCATTTTTATAACAGTAACCAACTTAAAATATTTTTTTAGAATTTTTAATAAATGCATAAACAATTTATTTATAATTTGTACTTAACTTATTTTAGCAGATTTTCAGTATATAGTATTATATAGTATTTTGATTATAGGAGTATTTGGTTTGTTTTACTAAGTTAGAATATTTTTGGTACTAGTGTAATATACTAGACACTACATCTCAATTATGGTTTGTTACTAAGAATATTTTTTATCAAGAAATTTGTTATTTCTTTATTAGAAAATCTTATCGCTTTAAATATTACAAAATTTATTTGAATATTAATTTATCTAGCTATATGCAAATTCTGATTACACTGCTTTTACAACCTAATCTTAATCAAACCCAGTATTATAAAATTTTGAGATTACAAATTAATCTGTGACATGAGCTAGATCACTTTGAAATTTTGTTTCTGAAGTTCTAATTTTTGCAATTATATATTTATTTATTATTCAAGTATCTCTATCTAACACTAGTATAACTTTTATGAAATTAACACAATATTTAATTAATACAAAATTATACTAATACTAATTTTTTTTTTGAATATCATATTGATTTTTCTATTTTTATCTACTACTTCATGACTTTTAAACACAATATTTTCTACTTTTTCAATCATAGTATTTTATACTACAAAGTTTTATAAGATTTTTTCTATGATTATTTTATAATTATTCAACACAATTATACTATTCAAGATTCACTTTAATATTCATTTCTAAAGTTCTAATCCTTGTAATTATACAAACATACTTATTTAAATATTTCTATCTAACACTAATATA